AATTAAGAGATAAACACTTTCCTGTTCTTTGATAGGTAAGGTGTTAGTATTCCCATCTTAGAGCTGAAGTAGTGTTATAGAAAGTTCGGCACTTATGTTTGAGGTTGCATCAGAAGAATGGAGATAAGTGGTTTGAGGAGAAGGTAAAAGAGGTTTATTAATTTGCCACAAATGAAGAGGATGGAGATTCTCATCTTAAAATACTGTAGTACTAACTATAATTGGACATACAGAGCTTTTAAAAGGGGAGGTTTCAGCTTCAGGTATTGCTGTTTTACTATAGTTGATGATTCTGATTGACCCCATCTCCAGGAGAAACAATTATGTAACTTCTGCCTGGACAATTCAGTTGAGCTATCTCTTGTGGTTGACAAAAACAGAGAGCACTTCCCTGCCCTTCTGAGCACTGGCCTTGGGCAGGAATACCATTTTAAGTCCTAAAAAGAGTGGTGGTGGGGGATGTCTAAAGAGACAGCTGGTAAAACATTTTACCCTTTTCAGATTGTTCCCTCTGTTATAGTAGCATCCACAGCTTGGAACTGGAAGAAGAGTTTTCTATATAGGCTTATAAGTAAGCTTTCTTTATGCTTCCAGCCTTTTAGGTACTAATGAGAGGTGGAATCAATAATTTATGAATAGTTTATGACATATTTCTCCTCAGTGGAATATTGTCCTTTGCTTGATTGTGTAGGTTGCAAGTTTTAGTAAAGTTTTGGATTCTCAAGTATTACAGTGGCTTTTCTTAGAACTCATAAAATGATAGTGGTTAAAAAATACCCCTCCATCTGCTTTGACTTAGAGAATGAAAAAAGTACTTGAACTTCTCAGATAAAAAGCTTATAGATACAAAATGTTTTTACAAGGACTTTATATTCTCTTATTTAAATAATGTACTTCATTTTTGTACTTGAAGTTGTTTTTTAGAAGAATCCTTTCAGTCTTTTGGCTTGTGTTTATAATGGGGGTATGAAAACAGAATTTTAAATAGTGGTTAAAGCTTAATTTTAGCTGTATTGCCTCATAAGTGTTTTGTATGTGGTTACCTCTTGAATAGAACATGAAGCAAATCTTGATTTCTTTACTTTGTTTTGAGTCTCTCTCCCAGAGTCTCACTTTGTCACCGTCAGTAGAGTGCTGTGGTGTCATAGCTCACAGCAACCTCAAACTCTTGGGTTCAAGTGATTCTCTTGCCTCAGCCTCTCGAGTGGCTGGGACTATAGGCTCCTGCCACAATGCCCAGCTATTTTTTTTAGAGACCAGGTCTCACTCTGGTTCAGGCTGTTTTTGAACTTCTGAGCTCAGGCAATCCACCTTGGCCTCCCAGAATGCTAGGATTACAAGCATGAGCCACCATGTACAGCATGGAATCTTAATTTCTTTCTTTCTTTTTTTTTTATAGAGACAGAGTCTCACTTTATTGCCCTTGGTAGAGTGGTGTGGCATCACAGCTCACAGCAACCTCCAACTCCTAGGCTTAAGCAATTCTCTTGCCTCAGCCTCCCGAGTAGCTAGGACTACAGGTGCCCGCCACAGTGCCCATTTTATTTTTTTTTTTTTTTGGTTGCAGTTCGACCTGGGCCGGGTTTGAACCCACCACCCTAAAATATGGGGCTGGCACCCTACTCACTGAGCCACAGGTGCCGCCCTGGAATCTTGATTTCTAAATAATTAATTTCATCACAATGTATTTCACTTACTTAGAAAAGTATATATACTGCCATTCTACAGTGTCCATGAATGCTTGTGATTTCTGGTCCTAAGCTCTCCTCTCTCCCTTTTCCCTTAAAACAAGGGCAGTAGACTGCTCTTTCTTTTTTTTAAAAAAAATTTTGAGACAGAGTCTCATTTTACCACCCTCAGTAGAGTACATGGCATCACAGCTCGTGGCATCACAGCTCACAACAGCCTCAAATTCTTGGGCTTACATGGTTCTCTTGCCTCAGCCTCCCAAGTAGCTGGGATTACAGGCATCTGCCACAATGCATGGCTATTTCTTTGTTGCAGTTGTCATTGTTGTTTAGTTGACCCAGGCTGGGTTTGAGCCTGCCAGCCTCAGTGTATGTGGCCAGCGCCCTTCCCACTGAGCTACTGGCACCGTCCTAGACGGTTCTTTCTAGTCTGATTTTTCTGGCTTTTAGTTTTTCTGTTAAGTGTGCATTGTATCGAATGGGAATGCATTTACAGTCTGGGCAAACAGGCATGTGTTAATACCTTTTTATCTTGGCCTCTGAGACACTGATGATTTTAAGAATAAGACTAGAAGAAATCTCTAAGTAAGGATTTTCAGAGTATGATCAATGCCTCAAATGATAACATGCAAAGATATTAAGTCATGACTAAAAATGACTCCATGATGTTATATCAATCTATAAAAATATAAAAATACAACTCATAAAAGTAAAAATACAAATACATAAAAGTATTTGGTAATATTGTTTACTTTGTGTTCTCATAATGCTCTTAAGAGATAGGTAGCAAATATCTTTAGCAATTGTATTCAACAAATGAAAAATTGGAATTTGAATCTCTTGGTTTTTTCATCAAGTTTATCTTTGGTTAGACTGTTTTTTATGGAGAATGTGTTGAGATTCCTTAAATCAGAACATTCTTTTACCAGATGTGCTTACATATCTTTCAGTAAAAAGATTTGTCTCTTAGTATTGTGCCTCTTAGTTCTTCAGGGCATGACTGGAACCAGATAGCTCCATGTGTGTTTCTTTGCAGTTTGTTTCTGGGTTCATTTATTTAGTTATTTACTTAACAAATATTTACTAAGTATATACCATGTGTCAGGCATTTTGTTACAACTTTGTCTGGTATTTTTTTAATCATTTCAGGACTGATGAGGAATATTTTAATATCTCAAGATGATGTTAAATTGGGATCGTGTGTTTTCAAAACAGAAGCACCTGGCTCATTGTATTGTTCCACTCAGAGGCACCCTTGGGGGGGCCAAGATTCCCATCTTAAGCTTGTAAGGAACATGATGCTTGCAAAGCTGTTTCAGGTGTTTTGTGACACTTCATAATTGTGCTTGCTGCCTGCCTATCCTAATCGTCTAAGCAATCAGGAACGCTTTGGAGCTTCTACACTGTTAAGGCACTTTGAAATGTCACCACTTTTTCCCTACCTGTCACCCATTGTACAAGATCCATAGTCATTTAAAACCATGTGAGCTACTTATGTGAGAGTTGTAAATTGAGTGTTTGATCTGATATTGTCATGGACTTAGCATGTTATCTATAAGCCACCTCTCTCTAAAGCTGTTATGTTAAAATTGCATTTAAAATTCTATCAAAATTGCTACTTTGAATGCTATATAAATTGACAAGTAGATTGCCTCCTATTACAGAAATGAAGCAGCTCATTACTCTTTTCATGTGGAGAGGTGCTGCGGTCAGCCACTTGCTATCAGCAAAGCTTCCAAATTGCTTCTAACAGTAGTGGCTTGTGTTGTACCCTGATGCAAAAAGACATCTTACCTTAGGTCTCCCAGGAGGTTGGTGGCAAGAGGTATAGATGGAATATTGTTATGGGGCTTTAAGACAAAAGAGCTTAAAGGTTACGTTTGGTTTTCTTTCCCTTAGTCTCTCCCTCTTTCTTTGTAAAGGAGTGGTGAATGTGTTGCTGACAACTCCACTCTGGGTGGTAAACACCAGGCTGAAGCTGCAAGGAGCAAAATTTAGGAATGAAGACATTGTACCCACCAACTACAAAGGTATTATTGGTAAGTGTCTCTAGGCTAGTTCTTATTTAAGGGTTTTCTTATCTCTTTGCATCTGGAATCTATTGCCACAATAAAGCTACATAACAGATAACCTCAAACGTCAGTATCCATCAGTAGCATTTGTTTAGCTCATGTGTCTGTGGATTGACAGGGATCTAACTCATCTGGGTTGACCCCCGCCTGAGAGTCTTAGCTCCCCTCCTCTTCCTGGAATTAGCATCAGCAAATTTTTGCCATGGTGGTGGCAGAAGCACGAAGGACATGCTCAATGGAACAGTGTATTTCAGGGCTCTGTTCGCAACTTGTCTACTGACACCCCAGTAGCCAAAGCACGTTTAACATGATCAAACCTAAAATAAGAGGCAGAGAAATATTTTCTTTTCTTTTCTTTCTTTTTTTTTTTAAGAGACAGAGTCTCACTTAGTCACCCTTGGTAGAGTGCTGAGGCATCACAGCTCACAGCAACCTCCAGCTCTTGGGCTTAGGTGATTCTCTTGCCTCAGCCTCCTGAGTAGGTGGGACTATAGGCTCTTGCCACAGCACCCAGCTATTTCTTTATTGCAGTTTGACCAGGGCCAGGGTCGAACCCACCACCCTC